TGTAAAAATTCGAAGCGGCGTTAACCAATTTAGTTTTTGGTGGAGGGGATTTTATATCCTAAATTTAGGAGTATAAATAAAATAGTTGTATCAATATTTACCTTTTAAAAATAATTAATATCTTATATTAAAAACGTTAAAATTTTACATTAAGTTCGATAGCTACTTGCCAAAATCTTTATTTTTACATTAATAAACTTTAGTGAACATATTTTAAAATTTTTTTTAGTGCCATTATGTCATCTGATTATTACACAATGTAGCTAGCCAGGACTATTACCGTTTTCTATATCGGATACGATTGTTTCTGATATAATTGAGACACTGAAATTACACATTTCGATATTATCTTTGTCCATGTCTTTCAAGTAACTTGAAAACGGAATTTACTTTGGCACCCATAGGCCTCATGACTTTCAGAGAAGTGAGTATGATCTAATTCTAGTATGTCTCGACAATATCGTTGTTTCTTAGTGTAAAAATAAGTATATTTTACTGTTCAATATTAGAGGGGGTGTGAAACAAAAATGATGATTTATTGATAGTATGAAAACTAGAAACACAATTATCAACTTATTGAACCTCTTTCAAAAACAAAAGGGGAAATGCTCGATTATATGGTTTTGGTTTTTGTACAAATAACCGAGCCGTACCCAATAAAATGGCTGCGTTTCTTTATACATTCCGGATAATCCCATTTCACAGCCGGAATAAACAGAATGCGTTTGAAATATACGTTAACATATCACGAGGAGCGTTCTAAAGAATAAGTAAACAAAAAAGTTTATTCCAAACGTTCAGAATGAATAAAGAAATGCAGCCAATATGTACCTTATGCTTGTTCAAATTTCCATTATAAGAACAAAATGTTTGTAAATAAACCTGAAATGAATAACAAAATTTGAAGGATTTTATATATCGGATACGGTAGCACGAAATGTCACAATCTACTTAATTTTCAGGTTGTTAATATGGCGACGAAAAAGTGACAATGGCCTACCTTCGTTTTTGTATCATGTGCAAAACTATCAAAATATATCAAAATTGTATGCATGTCTGCCCGCCAAAAAAGAGAAGAAGGCGGAAGGAAGGAAGTTTTTGTGTTTCAATTTATTTTATGCGAAAGTCTGCTTCATGATATTAACGCATGAGGATTACATAGAGGCTTCAAAATGTTTAGTTCGTAAGCACTATTTATCTCTGCGTACGATGAGACCTGAGGGGAAATAAGTAATAACTGCCTTGACCTCCTTCTTGACGGGCAGACATGCATACAATTTTGAAATTTTTTGATAGTTTTGCATTTTTAATATTTTTGAGAATATACATTTATTAAACGTTGGCGTGTCAAATGAAAGCTTTTGGCTCTTTCTGACTGGCTGAAGCAGAATGCTTTCTGATACAACTCTGCGCTGAACTGGTTTCAAACGAGTTAAATCATTTAACTTGACACGCCAACGTTTAAAAAATTTATATTCTGAAAAATATTAAAAATTATCAAAAAATATCTAAATTGTATGCGTATCTGCCCGCCAAAAAAGAGACCAAGGTGCAAGAGATAAATAGTGCATACGAACTAAACTAGTGGTAATCAAATAACCGTCAAATTTAACTCCAAATGTTCAATGTAGACGATCGTGTTTTCCAAAAAGCTCTTTTTCATTTAACAAAGTTAAATGGGGCCAATTTGAACGTAATATTACTCTCATTTTTGTTCTCTTAAGCTGCCTTTAGATGAGGCGGTTTTCCAGGCGATTCAACATTGCTCTGGAAAAATCGCTCTTGTAAATGGTGATTCAAAAATAGCTTGCCTAAAAGTAGACAGCAAGTCAACTTTTGCAGGCGATTATCGCCTGTCAAAAAATCGCCTCATGTAAAGGCAGCTTTACATTAATGCGTACAGATATGTATGTAATACGTCTATATTGGCAGTAACCCGGCAAACATATTCTGTGCGTTCAGAATATATGAGTTCGAAAGGTGTCCTAGGTAGGTAAGAAATATGAGTTTCAAAAACAAAAAATTTTTTACTCTTATATGAATCTTTTAGGATTCATATATGAGCCAAGTTATGAGCCAGCACCTTGTGCCAATATAAAAACAATAAAGATTTGAAATTTATATCTAAACTTGTTTATACAGAAATTGAAAATAATTAGAAAACAAAAAATGAACAAAATTTAGCTTCAGCTGCTGCTATTAAATGCATGTTGGAATGTGTATATGCATGTAAGTATGTATGTATGTTATTTGCAAGGACCTTTTGCGGAATGCCTTTGCAAATATAGTGAGTTGAATAAGACTCAAAGAGCAACCTAAAATAAGAGTCCGAATGTAGCAATTTATGAGGCCGATAAGGGTATCAAAAAGAGTCATATATGAGGCCAAAACTTGTTTTAAAAGAGTCCAAAATGAGCCGTATATGAGGCCAATAAGAGTCCAATATGACTCATATTGATTCGACATTCGTAGGAAGGGAAACACACTCATATCGGACTCTTAAATGAGCTCATTATGAGCGCAATAGCTCCGAAATAGGACTCCTTAAAGACTCATTTATGACTCCAATTGTTTGCTGGGAAGCTATCTTCTCAGCGTGTAAGCGTTCCGAAATCAAAACGAGATAGTCTAGTACCGTTTCTGTGTATAAATTGTGTACGTCTTTATTTATACAACCACTAGGCCAATTTTTTAGGTGCTCGTAATGTCATTCCTGCCAGCTTATATGCCTTTGTTAGTTTGACCACAGATACTACAAAAATGTATTGCCTAGTCACGTGCATTTTGAGTACCAATGAATTTGCAACTGACTAATGGCGTTTTCTTTTCTCGAAAAAAATGTCACCTTATTATATGGAAACATTATCACAATGCAACAAAAAAAATTTCAAAACCAATAACTTACTGAAAAATTGTTTATTATAGCTTATTATTATAGCTTATTAATGCAACCTATAGAGGTATGTTGCACAAAAACACATAAACAGATGTTCACAAAAGTTGACATAAAACTGTTCGTCGATTTGAATAGTTAACTTCTAACTGCGCATGTTTATTCTACGAGGAGGAAGCATCGAAAGCCTAACCTCGTCAATGTGAGACTTTAACCCAAACCGTCATGTACCGTTCCCCTCCCGGTACCACCGTCAAGGATTTCGTCGGGATTATAACACTGTGTGACTGCTAAAGTTATAGATCTATCGAAGCACAAAAAATATGCATACTTAAAATTTTGAATACCCCCTCAAATCTGGACTTAAGGTCTTAAAACGCGCTTTTCATGGGTTGAGCATTATAACTGTTCGCAACTTAATTCCTGTTTATCCGATTAAAAATATTTGCAGTGCGTACACGGTAACCTCAACCCTCAATACGTGCAATTCCTTGATTAATGCAAGTCTCTAAAGCAAAACATTGTAACCTTTATAAAAGAAACTTCAAAACAATTTAACCTCAGTACCTAAAATATTCTTTGTTTGTGCATGCCACACACACAAAATTTGTATTTTTTGCCTTTCTTTGACTTACCAGTATTCTGGAAAAACTAAAAAGTGGTGTTTCAGTTAAAGTGATGTGTGATGAGTTTAAAATAAACAATGAAAGCAAAAGTAAAGATTTGAGAAACGGCAAACTTTAAAACAGTGCGATTACCCAAAAAGGATTTACACAAGTTGTTTAGTTTTAGGAGAAAATAAAAGGTTCCCATATATGTCCAATTTGTGAAAGCTAAAGTCCGCAAGTTACATAAAAACATATATGTAATACTTCTATATTGGTAGTAAGCTAACATCTCAATGTGTAAGCATTCCGAAATCAAAGCAAGACAATCTAGTACTTTTTTTGTCAATGTATTGTGTACTTGAGTGCCGTTTTTGTAAATGTGTCGTGTACATGTTTATTTATAAACGTATGTGTTCCTTTTCTTTCGTACGTGTTTACTGATATATCTGTACTGTAGTGTTTTCGGACGGTACTAGCTCTTACTGCCAATATAGGAGTATTACATATATGCATAAAAATAACCAACTGCATCTCTTGCCAGACAAGACATTCATTGCTGATGGGTCAAGACCATGCCTCGCTTGAGCAAATGCATCTGGAACGCACAAAGTTTTTCTTCTTCGTATTTGGCGCTAGAACCGCCTACGCGATTTTGGCCGAGTCCAAAACAGTACGCAAGCCTCGTAAAGTTTTGTGCCTGAGCGGTTCAGTTCTGCGATTCTTATTATCTTTTCCAATGTCAGATTAAAGAAATCACATGAAAGGGAGTCACCTTGTCTGAACCCTCGACTGGTAACAATCGGCTCGGAAGGGTCCTCCTCTATTCTGATCTGAAGCCACACTGGTAAGGCGCAATCAGTTCATTGACGGAGGATTACAGTCTTTCACACAATACGCTCGATGAAACAGTTAGCACGAATGGCGGAGTCGCCGATAGCGGATGACTAGCGTTTTGCCCGATCGCAGCGTGGTCCTATAGGCGGAACCTTTTTTATCTGCAGCTTCTTGACACACCAGTAATGAGCGGGAAATGTGGTTCCACTGCTACCGTATGTCGCTTTGCTGAAGAGTGCTCTCTCACAGCAGGTGTGAGAGTTGAGTGGCGAATCAATTGACCGTCTATTTTGATTGCAGCTTTTCGACATTTTTTGCTGCACCAAGTCGGGTGCGTATATTGGCTGCATCAATGTAGAGTTGCGATTCTATGTTTGGTCCTGGAGTCTAAATATAAAAGTTTGCGCCGCAAATAAGTACTTACTGCATTTTTAATTTTGTATGCAGTAAAATTATATAAAATATCTTAGTTCTCTTATCTATTTATTTGTCAATTTATATTTCAATATATGATCGCCTTAGTATTAACACCACTAATAAGAATCCAGTAAAATTAAGCCATATCTATGATCTTATATATTGACATATACTTATGTATGTATTTGTATGTTTTAATGTATGTATATTTATAAATAACTAATGGCGGATGGGCAACACATTTTCAGCGAAATGGTACAAGCGTTGATTCCTTACAAATAAATACGGGCGAAGATAATATTCGCAAATTCAGCATCATAACCCAATTTAATGGAAAACCACTTTTGGATTTTTGGAGCGAAGAAGAATGCAACCGCATTGATGGCTCGGACGCTTCGATGTTTCCTCCGCATATCTTAGATAATAGAGACGATTTACAAGTTTTTCTACAAGTACTTTGCAGAAAAATACCATTACATTTTGAGAAGGAAGTTACGATTTTTAACAACATTGATGCATTACGTTATCGCACCACATTGAATGTGTTTTCTAGCCCGGATGAAAATCCATTGAACGCATGTTATTGTCGTAATACTCAAGTTTGCTTACCCAGTGGAGTAATTAATGCTACAAAGTGCTACAACGGAGCTCCAATATTTCCCTCTTTTCCCCATTTCTTTTCCGGTAATCCCGATATTTATAAGGACTTTGAAGGAATCAAGCCTATACAGGAACTACATCAAACCTATGCGGATATTCACCCACGATTTGCATTTCCAATAAGTGGAGCATCCCGAATACAAATAAACATTGCAGTTCATAAGGGACCGATTTTAAAAAGTAAGTAAAACATTCTTTTAAAAATTAGTTTCGGCATTCATCCAATCGATATGTATAAGTAGCAACTTATACTGCATTCAGCTGAGACCTAATGCGCATTTACTTATATATTTTCAACCTCAGTGCAACCGATTTTTTTTTTCATTTCATCGTTTAGAAGAGAACAAATTGTTTTACTTCAAACCATGATACAATAATTTTTAGAAGGTAGTTTCACTTCTTCTTCTTATCCGCCATGTTAGCTATCTGACAGAAAACGTGTTTCGTATTTTGTTGTATCAACTTGTTCAAAGAAAAAAATCTAGCTTTTAACGTTGGACAAATAAAACAAAGAAAGCCAAACATGTAAATACATAAGAATAACATTTTTTAATATTTTTTAATAAGTTTCTTCATAAAAAATTAACTGCTGCTTCCGTGGATATTGCAACACACGCAATAGATGTAAGGATACAGCTATGTATAAGAATTACCGCGTACCACAGACTTTATCGGCCGCCTATTTAAATAGTAGGGCTCGCTTAAATATGTATAGCGTGGCGACGAATAACTGTTACCCAGGTTTTTTTGAGAAATAAAATGGTCCTTTATAGATTTTGCGAAAAAAGGATTTTATTGTTAATTTTCCACAGATTTTCTTTAGTGTTGTTGATTAGTTTTTAAATTTTGAACCTTATTTACATTTGCCAGCAGTGTAAACTTTGAAACAAAAGTTTATTTGGCACGCAGGTCTTCGTCAATTAATTTATTACATATCTTCTATAACCATAGGCTAATTTTCTCCATTTAAGTCCCTTATACTCTTCCTTCTGTCCAGCATAAGGCCTGATACTCAGTGATCGGACTTCTACCACATTGCGGTAGATCTGCCACTTTTTTGAGCATCTACCACATCTACCACTCAAAATCTACTAAAATCTACCACATATTCGCGTTTTTGCGTAGTTTTATTTTTGGTCGACATAATTTTCTTAATTTTAAAAGCAAAAATTGTCCAACACTAAACTCTATAGGGTAACAAGAATGATATAATACAAGATTCCGGCGACGATGAAATTTCTCAAGTAAAACTAAACAAAGCCGAATGAGAGGATAAAATAAACTGTAAAATAGTAAATTTTCTCAGTAATAAATTTTTCGACAGAAAACGTGGTTTTATTGTGTTAAATTGCAAAATATATGATTTATAAAAAGAATTAATTCAGCGGCTCCGCTGGCTTGGCCATGTCGTTCGGATGGACAGAAACGCTCCTGCTCTGAAAATATTCAACGCGGGCCGCGATGCTGGGAACAGAGGAAGAGGAAGGCCTCCTCTGCGTTGGAAAGACCAGGTGGAGAAGGACTTGGCTTCACTTGGCATTTTCAATTGGCGTCAGTTAGCACAGAAGAGAAATGACTGGCGTGCTGTTTTGGACTCGGCCAAAATCGCTTAGGCGGTTACAGCGCCAAATAAGAAGAAGAAGAAGAAAAAGAATTAATAGCGAAAATGTAAAAAATTGCGATTTTTGTGAAAGTATTAGCAAATTTAAGTGCATCTAAAGTTTTTGAGGCGTTGTATACTTTTACTTGAGAATTGTCCAAATCGGCAAATCCCAATTACCTGTTTCTGGAACGTGCCATATTTGTTCGCTAGAAAAGCTGGCAGCACTCCACAAGGTTGCAGAAATTTCTTAAAATATATTCGAAAAATACCTTGATATGGAAGGAACTGCTTTACACTGTCAAGGAAAAAAATTGCCAAAATTCAACTAAATTTTTTAGCAACTTCAATCTTGCACTTTATTATACTAAAACTAAATTTTTTTAGAGTAAAAAGTTTGCAATTTATGTGAAACCTTGCAGAGTTTTTTTTAATTTTTGTACAAAGTTTGATCCAAACCCAGTGATCTACCACATTTTTTTTTACATCTACCACATTTTTTTCCAGATTCTACCACACAGAATTTTTTTAAAGTCCGATCACTGCCCATACTTAAAAATCGAATAGACTCGGAAGTGGTGACTAGGACGGCCATTCATTCGAACAGCCCTATACAGTTTTTCATTTATTTTGTCATTTTGTATACAATGCCTAAGAAAAAATACACCTGAAAAAGAGTTGCGTGCCAAATGAATTTTTCTCTCAAAGTTTACACTGCTGGCAAATGTAAATAAAGATTAAAATGTAAAAACTAATTAATACAACTAAGGTAAAATCTGTGAAAAATTAACAATAAAATACTCTTTTCGCAAAATCTATAAAGGACCCTTTTATTTCTCAAAAAAGCCTGCGTACCAGTTATTCGTCGCCACGCTGTACATGAAGATGTATGGAGGGGCGCACACTACACCAACTTAATCGCGGGGCCGATTAAAAATAATAATCGAAATTCCCCAAGTTCTATATCGTAGTAGTGGCCACACTGCGTGTTTTTCATAAGGCTCTGTTATGCATACTTGGCATTGCATGCACTGCTATACCATTTTTACGTAGAAATCAAAAACCAACAGACTTTTACGTATGTAATGCTGTGCGTTGGGTAACCGCTTACACGCGAAGCTCATTTAACAGATTCCTTATGTGACATCGCTCAAGCAATGCCAAGTATGCATAACGGAGCCTATAGATACTGTTTATGTCAAAAAACGTGAAGTGAAACTATCTTCTAAAAATTATTGTATCATGCTTCGAACCAAATATTTGACAAATGAATTTGTCATATGTATTTGCTTTTCTAATTCATGTTTGCTTAGATCGCTTAATTTTTTAGAATAAAAATAAAAAATCAGTTGATGTGCTGCGGTTGCCAAATTAAAGCTATAACCACTTAAATAATGTTGGCATTCAAAAACCAAATTCTTTCTTTAACGCGTAAACTGGCACCGCCACAAATCATTGAGTCGCATACCTTCAGTCCTAGCGTATTAACATATATAGGGTGATCCTAAACTGCGTACAAATATTTGACACATGTATTCCTTAGTCCAAAACAAAAAAAATTTAGGACACATTTTTCTCCCCAGGGCTTATTTACTGAGTTACGGCCAGCTAAGGAGATCTCGATTACAGCATTGAAATCGCCGATTTTTGCTCATTTTAAACAAAAACCTTTACGTCCAAATCATGAATGATGAAGTTGAAAGGTTTTGAATTCCCTCTCTTTACATCGAAGAATGGAAGCTTATTTTCTTGTAAATGGAGATCATTACAAGTAGCTAATTTTAATAATAAAAATTTGAAACTCTGGAACAAAATCCGTTATTTTACTTATTGATACAAAAACTTACAGTTTACCGCACTAAAATCGTGATGAATGGTTGCAAAATTTTCTTTAAATTTGGCGGGAAATCTCTCAATTTCATTCCATTTAAGGTTTTCACGTAAAGATGTTTGTTCAAAATGAACCAAAAATCGATGATTTCATTGCTGTGATCGATGTATCTTTAACTGGCCGTAACTCAAATTTTTGGGTTTGTTTTGGTCCAAGCAATAGGTGTGCCAAATACTTGTACCCAGTTTTGGATCACCCTGTATATACATAGTTTTCGAATTCCATGTTCTCATCAGCATTACTTTGATATATGAAGCGGGCGGAAGGTCCAAGTTTCCGATCCATGCTCGTATCGTCTTGCGCGATCGCGAAAGTATTCGAAGCCGTTACAATTGTTTCAAATGAGTCTAAGCATTAACAAATGTGTAATTTTTCGTTCTCGATTAAAGAAATTACTTTATTTATTTAACTGGTTAAGCAAAGCTTTTTTTATTTAAAAAATAGATTCAGGTGTGTCGATGCATTCGTAATGTTTGTTAATATCTTGGCATACGCGTTTGGTTTTTTTGGATGAAAATTGGAAAATATTCCTTACCGATGAAAACAAAACTTATGCATACTCATTTGCATATGTACTAAAACAGTTTGTCCAAATTATTTATGTGGACAGTAGTCGATTTATTAACACATTGGGGTTTGTTCAGTACCGTCCGATCGTTGATCCTGCGTCCTCTACGGATGGTTGCATTTTCCGACAATGATGTGTCTGTCAGTTCCGTTCCAATAGTAAGTTATTCCAATCTCACATTCGACCATCCTGTGCGATCATTCGGCCTCGGATGATGAGTTCCAGCTCTTGATGAACTCGGCGACTGCGATTGTGCGGTTTAGGCCCTCGTGGTCTCCAACCATCTCGACCGTGTAACGTCCGCCTCTCATTTTCTTCGCAACCTTATATGTCCCTAGATATTTAGCTTTTAACTTTAGTCCCCATCCGTATTGCGTTCGATTGATTGTTTTTTATTTTTCATCTTAGTCCCGCTAGCTTGTCACATGAAACAAGGGTTGCACAATCGTTCATAAAAATATCGATGTTAAGATTGTTCGATGTTGCAAAAATGAAACATCGATAGTTTGAACGATTTATCGATGTTCGTATCCATGTTCATATAAATTTGGAAAGGGGTGTTTCAAATCTTGTCATATTTCAACCTTTATGCAGAGTAAAAGGATACGTACATTTGTAATTCATACATCATTACATTTAACCAAGTTCGGTGGTTATTTAAATTTTTCTCTCTCAAAGTTTTATGATGCTGCTCAAAGTCCCTACACACAGGTTGTTTCAAAATGCCGCGATATGCAAGTAATTTTACCAGTGATGAATGATCAAGATCGAAAGAAATAACATCAAAGTTGCTATATTTTGTAGTTTTCGAAACATTGATATTAGCATCACATTTTACGAACGATGTAGAGATTTTTTAAATACGTCGATGTATCGTGTGCAACCTAACATGAAAAGTAATATCGAGCTAAATTCCGTGGATTGGCATGGAAAAGCTGCCTGATCCTGTGGCACATGCCTGATCCTGTGGCGACAAGTGCCGAAGCTGTCAGATTCGACATCCTAAAAAACATGTTTTTAAAAATCAAGCCCTCTGCCTTACCTCCCATCATGTTTGCTGGAGCTCTCTCGGTCTTCATTTCCTCTCCAGCGCTCTTGCACTCACTCGCTCGATGACAATT